GTTTGAGGCCCAGGATCCCCGATGAGGCATGAAGATCCCATGGATCCAGCCTCTAATTTCCTCTGTTTGGCTGCATATAAATAACACGGGCATTGGTAAAAGGGTCAGCTCAGTGACTTGTGTCTTTGGCATTGCTGATCTCCTTTTTGATTTCTTTTCACTAGAGATGGCATCCCTCCTGCTTTCAGTGACCTTCCCTCTCAACATTTATATTTAGATGAAATCTCATTCACATGGAAGCTTTTACTTCTTTCTCCTTTCTTCTTTCTTTTACGTAAAGTGTTCTTTCTTTAATTGTATTATAAGAACCTGAAAGCAAGTGATAAGGAAGGGGTGTCATATCTTTGTGTCTAAAGTCATGCTAGGGTTTGGTGTAAGTTTAAGCAAGATATCCAGCAAGATCTGGTGTCTTTCACCCAGAGAGGAGAGTGAAGCAGTTAAGAACTTTGGGCTTGACTTTGGGAAGACCTGCTTTCAAACCCTTGTTTTGCCACTCACTTGCTGCTTGATTTTGGTTGTTTTTAAATCTTGGCTTTCTCATCTGCTAAATAGCAGTAGTAACTCCTCAGCGTGGTGATGACGATTAAACAGAATAATGGATTTGGGGCTCAGCAAACTCCTAGTACACACTACTATTTGTTTTATCATCTCTGCCCTCACTGCTGGATTCTTTCCAGTGCTGCTCAGGAGGAAGAACCCTCCTAACCCCTGCCCAGAGGGACTTGCCAAAGCCATGTTAAGAGAGGGCTGGGCTTGGCGGCTCATGCCTGTAATCCCAACACTTTAAGAGGCCGAGGCGGGCAGATCATGAGGTCAAGAGATTGACACCATCCTGGACAACGTGGTGAAACCCCATCTCTATTAAATATACAAAAATTGGCTGGGCCTGGTGGTGCGCACCTGTACTCCCAGCTACATGGGAGGCTGAGGCAGGAGAATCGCTTGAACCCAGGAGGTGGAGGTTGCAGTGAGCTGAGATCATGCTACTGTACTCCAGCCTGGATGACAAAGCAAACCTCCATCTCAGAAAGAGAGAGAGAGAGAGAGAGAGGAGACAAGCTTCCCTTCTCCTGTCCCATGCCTGCTCTTTGCTATTCTCATAGCCCTGCCCCATCTCTTGTGTACTTTCCACCCAGAATTGTCTGAAGCTCTTTCACTGAGCCTTGTTTTATTTATGCATTTATTTATTTTTGTGTGTGTTTGTGTGCTGGATCCTGAAAGCACTGCAGTAACAGTTTTGCTGGCACCCTGCCTTACCTAGCAGATAAGCTGTGGGCATATGAGCCACAATTTCTATAGCCTTGAGGCCTTAGGCTGGACTTTGGGGACAGAGACCATGAGCTACTGTGCAGGGGAATGTTCTGATGAAGGCAGAGTCTGGCAGTGAGAGAACTGGGAAGACGGGAGAGTGGAATCCAGAAATGTTGAGGCCCAGGTGCAGGGGCTGGGAGTGAAAATCCAGATTGCCTGGTGACGGAGACCATGTTGTCATTTTCCCTGTGTCTCCAGCATCTAGCACAGTGCTTGGCATAAAATAGGCCCTCAAATGTAGGTGGGTGATAATGACTGAGGAGTAAAATTTAAGAACTTTGTTGTTTAAATTGTGTGTGATTGGGGGAATTGTTGATTTGCCTGAATACTGATTACAGCCTCTCTAAAAGGAGCATAAAACGACATATTTATGTTGCCCATGTAAAAAGTATTGAATGGCGTTTATGTGACTTGCTTAGATTAACACATAGCAAGCTAATACTTAGTATACTTGTCATTACATTTGTGTCACATTACCTTTGCTGTAAGTTTTATTTGATTGCAGTCGTAAACTCTATGTATGCTTAAGATACGTTTGCAGAATCTGAGGCTTAATCCACCAGTAACAGCAGATACCCTTCTTGGTGCTTTAGAGTCCTACCTTGTGAGCTCAGACTTCATAGAATGTTACCACATGTCCTACGTTTGTTCACTCACATATTTAAAAAAGAAAAAAAAGGACAGAAAGAACATTGCTCAGGACAGTCAGGGGAGGGGGGTGGCCTGAATGAAAACAGTCAGTGCAGAACATTGTGCAGGCCCATTCCTGGGGAGTAAAGAATCCGAGACATTTGGAGAAGACCCAGGGAACACAAGGAAGGGGAGGGGGAATCGCAAAAGGCAGGCAGTGAGGAAGCAGCCCGGGGATCTGGCTGGGATTCCAATCCATTCTTAGCTGCTTGATACAAACGCTATTATATTAAAATTCTTTTAAAGAAGTATGAATTTCCACAGCACCCTATTTGTGTCCTAAATTTAGAGTAACGAAGCTTGAGCAATTGAATGATGTAAAAACTCTTTTTTCCCGCAGAGTCAAAGGAAAAGTAAAAATTAGAGTTACTAAGTTAAATTTTTACTTGAGTAGTGTTTGTCCTTTTGGTTCTCAAATACTTGTTTGTAAACACAGTTTGAGTTTCACTGAATATATTTTCTTTTAGTTAATAATAATAACTTCCCACGTCTAGTAGTCACTTACTAAGCTCTGGACACCTCTAGGTTCTTCAGTAGCTCCCGATCTTGTATCTTAGTGCAGGTTCATCTGAAGGATATCTCAGGGGAAGGCTTCATGTGTTAAGTGATTTAGTGAGGGAAGCAAGACAGGGAAGGGGGCAGTTTCAGGCAGCGTGCCCCAGAGAGTAGCTTCAGCCTGAGCCCATGGAGAACACTGGAATGTAACTTAGGCCTGGGGATTTGTCCCAGGTGTGATCAAAGCAACTGGGCTTTAAGATTTTATATTTTATAATCCCTGTCTAAAGGCTGTGGGATTTGAGGTGGTAGTGGTGGTGGGGGTGGTGTGTAGAAAGTGAACTTTTCGTCACTTTAGGCTTTTTTATGCCTGTGGGAAAGGCACTCCAGTAGTCAAGAAGTGTTCGCCAAAGGACAGTTGCAGATGTGAGGTGGATGTGGGCACACAAGTGCGGCTGGAGGATGGTGCACAGAAGATGTCACCAAGGATGCCAGGGGATCTCAGTGGAGCTCAGAGAGTGTTCGCAGCCTCTCTTGATTCTTTCTGTCCCTACTGTGTATCTTCAGCACAAGTCCCTGTGATTCTTTCTTTTCTGGGTTGCATGATATGTTCCTAACTGATATCCTCTGATCCACAGATTCTTACTGTAGTCTGTGATCTTTCTAAATCACAGATCTGGCAGTGTTAGTCCAGTGCTCAAAAGCCTTCAGTTTCTGCCTAAAGTCCAAGCTCCTTAGTGTGACTTGCCTGATACTCTTGATCTGACCCCAGACTCTTAGGGCTATACTCACATAGCACAGTGGTTGTTATGGACTGAATATTTGTGATCCATAGCCATATATTGCAATCCTAATGCCAGCCCCACAGTGATGTATCAGGAGACGGAGACTTTGAGAGTGATTAAGTCATGAGGGTGAAATCCCCATGAATGAGATTAGTGCCCTTATAAAAGACACTCCAGAGAGCTCTCTCACCCCTTCAGCCATGTGGGGATGTGGCAATAAAATCCTGGGCCTTCTAGGAACCAGGAAGTGGGCCCTCAACAGACCCCGAATTTGTTGACACCTTGATCTTGAACTTCCCAACCTCAAGAACTTTGAGAAGCAAATATTTATCATTTAAACCACCCATGTGATGTTTTTGTTATAGTAGCCCAAATGGACTAAGACACTGGTATGGCTTGCTGCTCTCTGACTTCTGGAATTCTGTAACACTATGCCTACTACCTGGAAAAATCTTTGCCCACCTCCTCACCTGGCTCGCTGTTCCTTATCTTTGAAGATCCAGCTCAATCTTTATGGCGTCTGGCTTTCCACTGTACTCTGGGCTCATGCCATTGTAATGTTTGCCACACTCGTTTTCCCACCAGACTGTGAGCCTCTTTAAGAGAGGCTTGTGCCCTGTTCACATCTGCATTGCATGATTCTTGAATTCTATTAGAGGATAAGGTGAAATGAAGGAGGAGCAGGAAGTCTGTCTTTGCAGGGATCTGCAGAATGAATGTGATTTCAGCTACATGGGCCTCATTCTCCAAGAGGTAGGCTGGCTGAGCATGGTGGCTTGGCATGGTGGCTCATGCCTATAATCCCAGCAATTTGGGAGGCTAAGTGGGCAGATGGCCAGAGTTCAGGAGTTCAATATTATCCTGGGCAACACGGTGAAACCCTGTCTCTACTAATATAGAAAAAATTAGCAGGGCATGGTGGTATGAGCCTGTAGTCCCAGCTGCTCGGAAGGCTGAGGTAGGAGAATTGCTTTAACCTAGAAAAGGGAGGTTGCAGTAAGCTGTGACAACACCACTGCACTCCAGTCTGGGAGACAGAGCAAGTCTCTGTCTTTAAAAAAAAAAAAAAAAAAAAAGGTAGGCTAAAGGAACCAAAGTAAGAGGTTGGTCCCCTACTGTGCACCAGACAATGGGCTGGATGTACATCAACACATTTAGGAGACTAAATGTACATCGAGCCCATTATCTGGCACATAACAGGTGACCACCCTTACTTTTGAAGATCCGGCTCAATCTTTATGGCCTCTGGCTTCCCACTGTACTGAGGGCTCATGCCATTGTAATATTTGCCACACTAATTTTCTAAGAGGTAGCACCATCAAGAAACCATAAAATAGAGTACGTCTCTTGAGATCAGAGACTTTTCTGGTTTCCTGATGGTGCTACCTCTGAGAAAGAAAATTTAACTCATACACTCAATTTGGCCTGCATCTATACTGAAAGTGGTAGAGATATGTAAAGTAAGCCAATTAAATGCACATTTTTGAGGGCCTGGCATTTCAGGTGAAGATACGGCAGTGCAGTAGATGTATCTTCAAGTATGACATGAATTAAACATGGAGTCTGATTGCTATGGGTTGAATATTGTCTCCCCAAAATGTGTATGTTGAAGTCCTCACCTCCAGCATCATGACTTTATTGGAAATCAGGTCATTGCAGTTATAATTCAAGACGAGGTATTACCGGAGTGGGGTAAGCCCCTATATCTGTACAAAAAGAATGCCACAAAAAGATTCAGATATGCACATCAGGAAAATGCCATGTGAAGATGATGGCAGCGATCAGGGTGATGCCTCTAGAAGCCAAGAATGTCAAAGATTGCCAGCAAACCACCAGAAGCGAGGAGAGCGCCACGGGACAGATTCTTCCTCCCAGTCCTCAGAAAAAGACAACCCTGCTCACACCTTGATCTGGACTTGTTGCTTCCAGAACTGTGAGACTGTACATTTCTGTTGTTTAAGCCACCTGCTTCGTGGAAATTTGTTGTAACAGCTTTAGCAAATTCACACACTAATTAGTCAACGAAGAGACAGGCATAAAAAAAACAGTGTATTTTGTAGTGTGATGAGGTTAATAGTGGCATATGTGCAACATACAGGTGCAGCACAGAGAAGAGAGGGATTGGCTGTGAGTTTTGGGAAGGAGTTCTTTACAAGTGGTGGGTACTGGTGAAAGGAAGGTTGCGTAGAAGAGTTGCATGAGCCAGGTTTTGAAAGCTAAAGATAATGAAGACTGATCTTTCTTTATGGCGGTTATGGCATTCATAGATAAAGCCAACTACTGTCTAATATTACCCCTATTTTCTCTTAAAAAATCTTTGGTGGGATCTGTGCAGAGAGGCCTTAGCAGATACGGGAGCAAACAAGTGGATTTGGGCCTAACAGTGGCATGTGGTAAGCAGCCTGTGATCTCGCACCAGTGGGTGTCATTCCACTCCCATCCCCCACCTCTGAGGCAGCACACCCTTTGTTCTCCCTTCTTTTTTCCTTTGAGTAAATCTGTTTACTACCCAGAAAAACTAGGAAGGAATAGGCGGGTTGCCCAGGGCAGATGGTGCAATGTTAACAGATGACACACAGAAAGCAGAACTCCTCAGCTCCTATTTTCCTTTTACATTCTCCAGCAAGGCTCTTCAATTGAAATGGCATAAAAGAAACATCATTAAGAGGAAATTGAAACACAAGGTCCATGAGAGATAGTGAGGGAACCCACTGTCTGGTTGATTTAAATGGTTTTATGTCTTCAGATCCTAGTGAGTTACACCCAGATAATGAAATAACTTACAGAAAAGACCAATGAGCCAAGAAGGAGACATTATTTTCAGTGATTTTTCAAAAAGAAGTTCTGGATTATTTAAAATGTTGGGCTTCAAGCCTGGAGAAAGGCAAATATTGCTCTCATATTCAAAGAAATATGAAAGATAAACTCACAGAAAATAGCAGTTCATACTGATTCTCTGCAAAGATTTTTTTGTTATTTTATTTTACTTATGCACATACAAACATACACAGAGGAAAGGAGGTAGCAAGGTGAAGGGAGAAAATGAAGGAATGAGAGAGAGAAGGAGGGAGAGAAAACAGAGCAGGAAAGATAGAAAACGGAGAATAAGTTTCTTTATGAAAATTACTTTAAGTTTGCAGCATTCAGTTTACCTATGGTTGTGACTTCACTAATGCAGCAAGATTTTATAACAATCTATTAAGTAAGCATGATGTGTGCCATGAGAAAATAAAGGAGATGACTATTAAGAACCAAAGAAAGTTAATAAGAAAAAGTCATGCTAAACTTGGAGCTTTTTTCCTTCCCAGTTTCCTTTGCCTTGTCTTTTCTCATTTCCCCAGTGTGAGAAATCCCCCCTCTACTTTTATTTCACCCAGAGATGCAGCACCGCCTAACATCAAACAGAACATGAACATCTGCACGTTCTACACAATATTTCCCGGGAGCTAATTGGACCAGAAGAAAAGGCAGTGCTGATCACAGAGTTTGCCTCTCAGTCCCCTAATTGTATTTTCTGTTTTCCAAGTTCCTCATCTTGAGGCCTTCCTCCCTTTTTTCTTTTCTGAGTACCCACAAATCCTGGGCTTCTTCCTTATCCACTTCCCTCTTGTGCCTGTTCTCATAACCTTCCCAGTACATTTGTCCATCCAAGAGCTGGCTGCTGGCTTGCTTTGGTCAGATGACTCCTCTTAGGGTCTGGATCCTTGATTGACAGCTGGGACCAGGAACCTCTGAGCAATCCACGCCTCTGATGCAGACTGTCTCTATGAACTACACTTACTGTAAATGTCAGTTCCCTTCTCACACATTGGGCTCATTTCTCCTTCTTGAGCTATGTCATTGTTATTCCTTTATTCCATATTAATCAGAAACTCACTCTTCAAAAGACATCATTACCCCAGGATTAAGAGCATGGGCTCTGGAGTAAGACTGGGATTGTTATCACTAAAAAGTAAAAATCAGTTCATTTTTTCTCTCTTGTTTCAAATCTTCCACAAAATTTTCACCATGTTTAGAATAAAATCCCAACTCTTTACCGTGACGTGTAAGGATTTAGATAGTCTGGCCCCTGCCTACCTCTGTCATCGCTGCACACCACTCTTTCCCTTTTTTTTCTTTTAAATATTCCTTCTTTCTGTTTTTTAAACATGTCAGGTCTCTTCCTGCCTCCCGGCCTTTATACTTGCACGTACTTTTCCCTCAGATCATCACATTCCTGGTTCATTCTATTCATGAAATTTTTAGCTAAAATTTTTCTTCTTGGCAGAAATCTTCCTGACTACCCTGTCTAAATCAGCCCTCTTCTCTGACTACCAGTTAGTTTCTGGCACTTTATGGTGCTGTTTTGCCTTTGTGACACTTGATGTCCTCTAGAATTACCTTATGCATTGATGTAGTGACTTTGTTTATTTCCCTTGCCTTGACCTCCACAGAATGTAAGCTCGGTGAGAGCCAGGACTCTATCCCCAGTCCCCAGTTTCTGGTATGTATTAGGTACTCAATAAATAAAATGAATCAGTAAATGCTTGCTCCATACTTCCTGGGCTACACAGTCATGAACTAATTGTTCCCATGGGCTTTAGTTCCTTATCTTTATGATGTGGTTAGCAAACCCTGTCTCATTGGAATGTTGTGAGCGTTGAATGGGATCACACAGGTAAGGTGGCTAGAGCGCAGTGGGGAATAGAAAAGGCACACAATAACATGAAGGGTTATTATAATATACCACTCTCCATGGGCGGCCATGGGACACACAGATGAGTCTAACAAAGACCTTTTCCCAGAAGTGCCCATTCATTTTGAGCAGACATTAGAGTTGCTGCAGGCCTTGGACACCACACCCCACTTTCCCTGCTGAACCTCTCCTGGGAGCCAGACTGTCCCCAGGCCCTGTCACATCTGATTGTTAGGTCATGTTCTTAGGCCTGCTTATCCATATTGCCTTGCTTTATGGTGAATAAACAACCAAGATGCACTGATAATCCCGAGATTACAAAACTAATCCAATTCCCTTTTATGGGTGAAGCTACTAGACAAGTATTTCTAGGTATAACACAGGGTCTGAGTGTCTCTGCATTTTAGCAGAGAATATGACAGACATTTAGATATTATAGATGATTATGGGAATATGCTTCTTTGACATTAATGACTATTTAATCAGATAAACCTGAAAAACTCCCAATTTTTTTCAAGTTTAAAAAGCACTCTTAAGATTACAAACAGTAATGAAGATTCATAGGTAGAAGACTGGATCTTTGAATTATAATTTGACTTGATTATGTAGGGGGTGTATAATTTATTCACTCCTCTACCAGTCTCTTATTAGAGTATCCTGAAAGGCGATGAGCCTAGTATCTCTGTCTTCTAATTATTTGAACATAGTTCAATGATGTCTATAACATGATACCATTTTGCTGAAAAATACGTATTCATGCATGGAAGAAAAACAGCAGAAGGACATGCACCAACATGTTAATACTAGATAAAATATGTCAGACTTTTTTTCTTTATGTTTTTCAAACTGTGCTGCTGCTTTGACTCCTTATGACTTTTGTAGGTGGAAAAAAAACTAATACAAATCAACTGCACACTTTTACAGAATGGGAGAAAGATGACCTGTAGGTCTTTCTTGTTAGGAAAGACTTGAGGACTGAGGTGATTGCCAGTCTCAGAGCAGGCATGTTTGAGATGAGGACCAAGGACCAAGGACCAAGTAGCTGTGTCTGAGACAAGGATGACTTCCAGAACAGGTGGGAAGTGGTTCCCAATGGTGCATCATGGCAGGTCTCAGTCTCACCTTTTAAGAGGCTTATTTTGAAGTTAGGGTGAAGTAAACTTTGGCTTAATTTTAAGAATAAATTTCTCATAAGCATAGCTATGGAGAGAATGGCCGTTTTGTTAGATTGTACAGTTCATCTTCAGCAGGTGGCCTTTCTTGAACAGAGATGCTGGGTGGACAGCTGGATGAGATGATATTTTATATTTTCTTCTAGGCTAGTAGACGACATTATCAAACCTGCCACTCTTTCTTCTTTATTACTTATGCTATCTCTATGAGATGGATATCACTTTTATTAGTGAAGAAATTGATGCTCAGACAGGTGAAATAATTTGCTGAATAATCAGGATCTTGCAAGTTTCTTAGCTGGGATTTGAGCTTAGATCTACTTGTCCTCCAAGCCCAAAATGTTCTATGATGTTCTGCTGCTTTCTAATCTGTGATTCCGTACCCATTTCCTCACTTTCTTTTCTCTTCTTTCTGTAGATCTCCACATTGCTTTCTTTCTGTTTCCATGACAGACAATAATGGCATCTGTAATATGTCTGGCTTTGATTTGGTTCTTGGTATTGATGTTTAAGCTAAAGAAATAAATGGCTGACTCTTGGGTAGCAGAGCCATTATCTATTACTGTTATTATTTTTAATTATTGTTTTCAGTGTAGTTGAAGAGATATTAGTTTATAATTTTAAAACTTCCAATGAAGAGTGTCTAGAAAAAACAGTCTTAAGTGTTTCAAGATTATTCTTTTTTAATACTGGAACGTATACTATGAGGCTTTCAGTAGAAAAGTAACAGGAGACAAATTGACAGCAAATTGAAAATAAAAGCATCTGATTCAGTGCTGTTCTCATCCTGGGTTCCCCACATTTCTTTTATTTGCAGTGTACCTTTTCCCTTTTGTGTGGAGTTGCCAATTCTTCTACATGGGTTAATCCTAAGGAGTAGTTTCTCTGCACATTGTCCACGAGGCGGTAGCTCATAATTAGGATGCCTTGATACTCTGGTGTGGTCTACCTCATGTAAGTTACACTGAACTCCCTGGGACTTGCAGAAGCAGGGCCCTTTCTGCATATGCTTCAGCCCCACTGTCAAAATCTTCGTAGTTGTGGCTCCCCCCTACACTTGAATTCTGTTGCTGCAGCAACGAGCTCAAGAAGAGCCTCTGTATGGGAATAGAGCTAAGGACGATGTTAAGGCTCAGGC